AATACTTATCAACAACAGAATACTTGGCATTATTCAAAAAACGCCGATGGAGCGCACGATGGACGGGACCATGGCGCTCCAAACTAAATTATCCCGTCCAACTATCCGCCGAAATTCACACTATGAACATTCACAATAATACTCCACTAATATTGCCCGGCATGGTAGCAGGAAGACGTACAGAATTACTCATCGATTTGGGAGCATCACTCACTCTAATTAATCTTGAATTTTTTCTCCAGTTACCACGATATTATCGTCAAAAAGCAGAACTCCCTCCCCCGAATTTATGTCTTCAATTAGCGGATATATCACAATTATATGTCAAATATACCTTATCACTTCCAATTACTATTTCAAACTCAACACGTGTACATAGAATCTACGTGGTTCCAAAATTATGGCGCTCATGTATTATTGGTAATGATCTTATTCGTAAACATAATCTTCAAATAGATGGTGGACGTCAATATGCATATTTCAAGTCAAAGAAAAGAAACAATCAACAAAAGCGCACAGCTGCAACAGGAAGGAAAAGAAACAATTAACAACGACGATAGGTACGTGTTGATTGCCAATGAACGTATTAAAATTTCACCTCTTCATGCATTCAACATTGAAGTTAAACCCATCAAACCGTTCTCAATTACAGACGATGATGAAGAAAATGAATACGAAGTAACATCAATAAAAGAAACTCCATGTGTAGCGAATGGCATTATTACACCACGTTAACACATGACACTACAGGTGGCCAACTTAACAGAAAGAACGATTATAATCTATAAAAATCAGCCTCTTGCGACAATGACTCGTCTTAATCAAACACAAATAAACATGGTGCAACATGGAATGATATCATCAACAACAAAACAGATGATATCAACAACAGATAATGAAGTAAGTTTAATCAACACTGATCTAGATAAATATCAAAAAGAAAAAATAAAGCAACTCATTNATGGTGCAACATGGAATGATATCATCAACAACAAAACAGATGATATCAACAACAGATAATGAAGTAAGTTTAATCAACACTGATCTAGATAAATATCAAAAAGAAAAAATAAAGCAACTCATTCACAAGTTTCCGGATGTGTTTAATGAACAACCAGGAAGAACAAAAAAATTACAACATCAAATTAATTTAGTTCCAGATGCGCAACCGGTTAATTCACCACTATTTCGATATGCACCAACAAGAAAACAAATGATCGAACAAAACTTAAATGAAATGTTAGATCAAGGAATTATCTCACCATCAACAAGCCCATGGGCATCACCAGTCATATTAGTACCAAAAAAAGATGGAAGTTTACGTTTCTGTATCGACTATCGAAAATTAAACACAGTAACAATTCGTGACGCATATCCACTTCCAAGAATAGATGATACATTAGATTCATTACAACAAGCAAAATTTGTATCTACACTTGATTTACGCTCCGGATATTGGCAGGTGGAAATGGGCAAAGATGCAAGACAAAAAACCGCCTTTGTAACACATAAAGGCCTATTTGAATTTAACGTTATGCCATTCGGATTAACAAATGCACCAGCAACATTTCAACGATTAATGGATATAGTATTAGCTGGTCTTAAGTGGCAATGTTGTCTCGTATACATCGATGATGTGGTCATTTTCTCTCCAACATTTGAACAACACATGACGGATTTAGAAAGAGTATTTCAAGCTCTTCAATCCGCAAATCTGACATTGAAAGCATCAAAATGTCAATTCTGCCGTCGAGAAATGCGTTATTTGGGACACATCATCACACAAAATGGCATTAAACCAGATCTAGATTTAATCAAATCCGTAACGAATTTTCCTCAGCCGAAGAAAATCAAAGATGTTCAATCATTCCTGGGTTTAACTGGTTATTATCGCCGATTCATCAAGGATTACTCAAAAATAGCGGAGCCACTGTTACAACAGCTTCGAAACTCTCAACAAGGTAATCATCAATTGAAATGGTCAAAAGAATGCACCAATGCCTTTGAAACATTAAAAAAAAAATTAACAAATGCGCCAATTATGAATACACCAAACTTTGAACAACCGTTCATATTGGAACTCGATGCTTGTGAATATGGCTTGGGAGCAATATTAACACAAGAATATGATGAAAATAAATATGTAATAGCTTATGCAAGCCGAACATTATCAACAGCTGAACGAAAATATGGAGCGACAGAACGAGAAGCATTAGCCATTTTATGGGCAACAAAATATTTTCGTCCATACCTCGAAGGAAATAAAATTTACATTAGATCGGATTGTAAAGCATTAGAATGGATGCGAACGGCAAAAGATGTAACAGGCCGATTAGCCCGCTGGGCGATGAAATTGTCAACTTATCAAATCGAAGAAATCAAATATCGCCCTGGAAAATTAAACGCTAACGCCGATTCGTTATCACGTAATCCACTACCAATTGATGATATCAATCAATATGAAGTGTCAGCAATAGAAACAGCTGTTAACCTATGGCAAAATACAAATATTCTTAATGATATAAAAAAAGAACACGAAGCCGACTCGAAATTAAAACCAATTATTGAACTTTTAAAAAACAAGTCAACGTTAGAATTTAATGACAAACGTAATCCACATGTTCTCGTTAATGGATTATTATACAAAATTAAAAACTCAAAGAAGCATTATAATCAACGTATAGTTGGAGAAAAACATTTACTTGTCATTCCGAAAACAATGCAAAATGAACTACTAAGATGGGCTCATGATCACCCAACAGCTGGACACGGTGGTCAACAAAAAACATTATTTAGACTGTCGACAAGAGTATATTGGAAATCAATGAGAAAAGATATATTTAATTACGTAGCTGCGTGTCAAGAATGTCAACAATTCAAATATAAAAACGCTCCAACATCAAGTTTAATGCAAATGCATTTAGTGAACGAGCCGTGGCACACAATTGGTATGGATATTTTAGGACCACTGCCGACTACAACAAGACAAAAACGATTTCTCCTCGTTGTGGTAGATTATTTTACTCGATGGGTCGAACTGTTTCCACTAAAATCAACTACATCAAATGATATAGCAAACATCCTCACCAACGAAATATTCTCAAGATATGGATTACCAAAACACATCGTATCAGATAATGGTCCACAATTCGTCTCGAACTTATTCAAAAATCTCTGTGATATGTTGGGAATTAAACAAAATTTAACAGCAAATTACCACCAGAGAGCAATATGACAGAACGTGTGAACAGAACATTAAAGCCGTTAATTGCCATATACGCTCAACAACGACCCAACTCATGGTATAATGAAATTCAAAAATTAGCTTTCGCAATCCGAACAGCAGTCAATGATACAACAGGTGAAACTCCAGCATTTATGATGTTCGGTCGAGATCCTAGAGGACCACTTGATTTATTAATTGGTGAAACAACAGAAGAAGCACAGCCGACAACTAGTGAGCATCGACAAATTCAAGAATATAAAAAGAATTTAATCAATAATCTACGATGGGCGTATAATATTGTTAAAGAACATTCAGAAATAGAAAAATTAAAACAAAAATAAAACTACGACCAACACACAACTCAAAGACAATACAACGAAGGTGATCTCGTATGGGTGGCGAGGCCAGCAGCGTATATTGGAGAAAACTCTATGGGAGGAAAATTACAACCACATTATTACGGTCCATGTCGGTTAATCAAACAGCTATCACCGAACACGTTCACAGTATGTCGTTTAAGTGATAATGTGAACGTGGGTGCAACGAATACAGATAGAATCAAACCATATATCGAATTAAACAGAAACAACCGAGGGACGACAACAACCACAAAGGATCAATCAGCTCAAGAAAAACAGACTGAAACATTAATCAACAATCAAGAAGCACGATTATCCGATTTATATTTACGAAATGTGAAAAGAAATCAACCGCCTACGGGCAATAATTCATCGCAGCGTCGAGCGTCAGATCGTCAACGCAGAGTGTCGATGCGCTATATTGAAAATTAAACAATAAACGATAGCATCGATTAGATAACAAAATTAGGTG